CAATTGCCGCTTTAATCTAATAACCTCCTCATCATGATCGTGTTTTAGCCTTTCGTTTTCCAAAGTCAAACTTTCAAGTTTCAATTTTAAGGTCTGCCTTTCTTCCGCTGCTTTTCGAGTTACGTGTTGAATCTCCTGGTCACTCTCTCGAACCAATTGCTCCATAGCTTGACACGCCTCTCGCTGTTGCTCAAGCAACGCAGCATCTTCTTCCTGTCTCTCTTTTGCTCGTCCCTTGACTCTTTTCATGTCGTTTTCAATTTCTCTCGACCTTAAAATCGCATTTTTTAGCTCCTCAATCTCATACTCTGGCCACACCTCCAACACAACATGTTCCAACTCCACAAGCCGTTGCACTCGCTCCACAAGTGTCTCCTCATTATTCTTGTACTTCGTATCATAATTTCCTGCAGTTTCTAGCATCTTCCAGCGTTCCGAAAAGCCAAAAAGTGTCTGCTGCTGTTTTAAAATCCGCATCCGAGCTTGTGTCACTGTCTCTGCGGCTTGTTGTAGCGCTGTCCTCGCTGTCACATTACCTTTCACTTTCATATCTTCCGACTTTTTGATCAACATCGTTTGTACTTTAGTTAAGCGGGACGTCAGCTCCTCCATATTATCGTCAATGGCGTCGTCGCTCTCGCCATGTCGAAGTGCTAGAAGATGCCGTTGCTCGGAGATAAGCGCCAATGCTTGCCGTAAATCCGATACGGAGGATGTTAATGAGCGTGCCGCAGCCTCGTTCCCTTTCTTTTGTGCATCTTGCGCCTTTTGCTGCAGTTTCTCAGCCACGAGGTGCACGCGAGCAATGACGTCTTGTGCCATTTGGACTTTAAGGATTTTATTCATTTCACCCACACAAATATTGTGAGTCTTAATGTTGTAAATAGACATAAATTTGGAAAGGATCGAATATCTTGATAGATGGTATACTATTAATTATTATAGTTCCGAGACAATGTCAATACTGATGCTGAGCCATGACGCTCTCATAAATTCATCTAACTAAATGACTGTTATAATCTTGATCATGGCGGATACATTTCTTAAAAACAAATATTCCAAAGACAATAATTCGTCAGCAGCAAGACAATCGAGCATTGATCATAATGTTCAATATTGATATTCACAGCTGACTTTCTGCTTTGGACTATGTGTAACGGGGTAACACGTACCCTGGTAACAGAAGTTTGTGTCACACGAGATGTGCATGGTGTGACTGCACCTGCAGCGGGTTAGCGCTTGAAAAGGCGTGCTTTAGGTCACCGACCTTTCGTTCTTTACAAGAATCAAGTATGAGTTAGCGGATCGCAATCAGCGTATCCAAGAGTAATTATTGCCTTCTTCGGTTTAAAAACCAAAACTAATTTTTATTTATATTTATTTGCTGCTAAACCGCCTCAGTTTAAAAGTATAGATTTTCCTAAATTAATATAGTAAAATCTAAATACATGTATAACTACTGGCTACCTAGCCCCGTACCGTAATCTTGTTTGGGTGTGGTCACACCATGCCCATCTGGTGTGACACACACCTCTGTTACCAGGGTATGTGTAACCCCGTTACTCTCTCCCCCATTAAAATTGAGAACACTCACAGTTCCAATCGATTATTGCCTCAATGAGGATTGCGTGTCCGTTAGACACTGCGTCAAATCGAAACGATGTGTCAATGACTTCAAAGTCTCCAAGTCTCGTTGGTTCTGACGGCGAGCACGGGCAGAGCCCAACTTTGACTCCCGCACGCGGTGCAACGTCGGAGAGTACGTCCGCAGCACCGAGGGATGTTAATTCTAGGCTCAATGAGCACAAGCGTCGTGATCCGCGTACGCTTTCAGTGCCGAGTGCCCTCGTTGAAGATGTGGAGGTGGTCGACTATGAGTCTGACACTCCTTTTCCCGCATTGGATGACGAAGGAGGCGAGCTGCACCAGTGGCATGAGACGAGCCCTGCTCGCGCCTTGTGGGCCCCATGTCCATTCTCTGACTTCTCGTCAACTGAGGGACGTGGTGTGATCACCTATGACCTCGACGGCGAACAGAGGCGGCAGCTTGAAGCTGCCCATATGGCGGCTCTGAAGATCGCCCATCCACGGCCGGTCATTGACCCTCGTGTGGAATATGGCTTCCGCCCAGCGGATCCCGCTATGAAAGCGAAGGTAGCGGTAACTCGATCGTTACGCGTCCACATCATCGAACTCCCGGCCAGAACGGATAATGAACTTGCCACACGGAACAGCATACAGCCGTCTCATTTTTTTTAACCAAGCTCAGAGTCCTAGCAATATCACTGTGGACTGGTCTGGACAATCATAAATTCCATACCACATCTAGTCCGCACCTCAGTGCCATCTACTTTGAATGAATGACTGACTCAGCATCACTGTGAGAAAATGACATTCTTATCTTCATGACGTTTCGGCCAAGTCGAACCTCGTAAGAGATCGCATTCTGGATTCAGTTTAGAGATCCCACACTGGCAAAGGCTCCAAACGTTTTAGTTTAAAATTTCTTTGACAATCCTCGTCGCGCGATGCATGTGCTACGGTATCCATATTCGACATTATCAATATTTCCGCATATAATTTTGATACTGACACGTATAGTGAATTGCACGCCATCGCATCACACCTCGAATCTATCAGGGTTTCCATGACTTCACAAAACACCTTTAGCTGTCATTGGTAACCAACAAATCTGGACTGTAAGTTTAGACCTCTTTATGAAACACGCTCTGTTCAGGGTGGGTCGCATTGACCCAGGACATACACAGAGTAGATAATTTTTAGTAGGTGTCCTGTTGCTCGATGTATCTTCCGAGGGGTCTGTCGATCGGCTTTGCGTAGAGTCTCGACCCTTCGTACCTCTATACCGAAAGAGAATAATACAGATGTTATGTATGTAACACTTGCGGATACCACGTTGCTTCGCAGCAGCCAAGATATCACTCTCTGAACCCTCTGCCCGGCTAATTAACTGCAGAGCACATCTTCCGATCCGCGAGAGCCAGTCCGGCGCGGGAGCTAGAGGCTCTATAGACACACCGCTTCAGGCAGGAAAGGAAAAAGAGCAATATCTTGGCCATTGTCACTAAGATTTAGCTTTAATGTAAGTTTTAACCACGTAGTAAGAATCGAAGACGTCATACACAATGTCACTGTTTTCCAGTAGTCGCTAGAGTATATCTCTGCAGAGACGGCTGCTAGTGGCCGTATGTCGCGGTCTTGAAAGCTAGTTTTTGTTAAGACAGCTACCAATGGGTGTGAGCCGGGAATCTCCGAGGCTTTGTTGACTCGGAAAGAGATGAGCAGTTGTATGTTGCGGTATGCAGGGTAAAATACTGTTAAGGCGAATCGAAGAAGCAAAATGCTGTGATGTCCATAGTTTTTTGTCGTTGAATCGCGAGCGAAAAGGCCAGGCCCTGATGTCAATGAGGAGGATTCATCGTTGCCGAGGTATGGTACCGTTATGTCAGAACAATCGAGTAAAGTCGGAGTACTGGAACGATGTGATTCTGTGGTAAAAAATATCGTGAAAGGGGCGACCGGGGGTCATTGAAGATAAAAATCTTCTAGTTACTACCTCGGGCGTAATCTCTTGTCGATCTTGATGTGCTATTGCTAGGGTTGTGTATGCATAAAATTGTCATCACCAAGTTTGCAATGAGGAGCTGAGCCTCCCATCAGTCAGGGATGTGCAAGCATCGATAATGATCAAATAGCTCTGAGCGGACGGAGGGGAGGGCTGTTCTAACGGATCATATAAATTGTCTCTACCCTTCGTTGGGACTGTATCATGACGTGGATATAAGCCACTCTCGATGCGTGTTGCCCCAGTTTTCAAGGGTGCGCCATGCTATTGACTCGGTTTCGGGAACCAAATATTACGTAGCATGTTAAAGGCCCCAACAGTAGAACAGTGCGGCGTCATATACTTTATTTTGCGCAGAGCATGAAGAGAATTCGGTGAGAGAAAACAATTCTTCCTCTTGAGATCGACTATCTGCGTAAAAAAACACGGTAGATGGCACATTGTGGATACATACATCAAATCAAATGTAGATGTTGTTGGCGGAAAAACTCTGATTCCAAGAAAAGATGTGGTGTGGAGCAGAATACTCGAAGATTCACTGTACTCTTAACTTGGTCGATGGATATCACCAACTGTGCCTAAAGCCGAAAACTCCTCTCATTGCTGAAATGTACTGCGAAATTATTTGAGTGACTGAATATGTATCTGAAGCTATCTTACGCACTGGCGTTGTTCAACAGTCTGGTGACGCAGCTTTAGACCGCATTGTGAATACGCACATGCATAATTTGGCAATACATCCGTTTATATTTCTGTATAGCATGAGAAGTCGATGTGAACATCCCTATCGAAAACTTTCGGATACTCGAGTGTATGAGCTAATAAAATTCTCATTAATCACAAATGGTGACGTCTTTAGCACCGACGATATCCCAGTTTTGGTTGGAAGCAACTATCGGCAGATCCCGCTAAGATCAAGAGCATAGCATACCTCGTATCAAAACAATTCATGGAAGTGGCTTAGCCTGGCTAACTACTTGCAGAAGTAAAGTTCAGATTATACCGACAATACAAGATCCTTTGCCGATCTCCGTTCAATAAATGAGAAATCGTGGCAGAAAAGGTGGTCTTTGAAGCTGTAAAAGAAAACCCTGTCTATGTTATCTTGTTCTCAGGCCGAACTTCTAAGTTTATAGACTATGGTCTGCTTCAATATGGTATCAATGGCATGTATGCGTCGTTACGTTGCTTTCATAATGACATCTCTGAGCGACTAAGAACCACATATTATTTTCACTTGTCTTGCGTAAAGCAGTAAAAGATTGATATCACAAGAAGCTGCTTGCTATGAATAATGTTGTTGTCAAGCTCGAGGTCGTTTGATCGGCTTCAATCTATCTGTGATTTATCCTCAACTTATTTTCATAGCGGTACGCTTTGTAACTTATAAAAAGCGAATCAAGATGTCTTGTGTAAACCTGGGATAATGGCACTTGCCAATCTTAAATGTTAATTAATTATGTAGGAGACATGCAAAGAAAATGCATTCCATCAAAGTGTCTTCAACGCCAAGGAGAAATTTGTCATTATCAGCAACCGCTTTTCAAGTGCGAACATTAATGTCCACATTTACTACCCCGTTTTCTGCGCGACTGTGCATTTACAGCGGACGATTCGTAAACCGGTGGTATGACAGAATACGCGAATTGCGTGTTAAAGAATATTCCCAGAAGTACTTGTGTGGAGCCACCACGGTGTTGGAAATACATGATTCTATTTGTTGCGTTCGTGTTCAACTACGCTAAACACGCTTCCACAACCTTTACATCATTCTTCAAGTACGGTTATCCTCGCGCTCTTCTGACACCTCCAACGATATGCTTTTGGTCTTGGTGGGAGACGGGTCGTTGCTAATGATCAACATGATACACTAAGGAGCAGCATTAACAACATTTTGATTCAAATAATGATCTTCTTGCGCGGAGTGGAAAACGCTATGAGTGAAAGTCAGGGTATGCAGATGCGACATACAGATGAGAAAGGCAGATGAAATGCAAACGTTTTTACTAGTTCTCATCAAATGCTGCTTGAAATATATCGGTCTGCGTTCTTGTTACATTGGACTATGGCCGCAGCCTGAGAGCATCAAATTACACCTCAAACATATCTAGGGGAATGCAAACACGTTCTGTTTTTATGTAGCCTTACATGCGCCATATCACATCCCCGCAATCATGATGATCAAGACTCAAAGCGCACTTTTGGAGAGAAACGCCGCTGCGATTTTAAAAGATCATTAGATCAGCCGTGCGAGGGTAACTCTCCGCCGACTCTGCTCGATAAGCGATGTGATATCCTCTTCCATGCTGTGGGTCGGTATGCTTACTATGGTTATAGCCACATTTAATAAAGTGGACGGACTACCCCTTCAAGAGCGCTTTGGAGTTTGAGCTTATAGCTGCAATATGTATTGGTGTCGTCGAAGCTTACGATCTGACACATTTAGTCCTTACGGTTCCGAAGACAAAAGGTCATGACGCACAGTGTACTTTCCACTAGCAAGAGAAGCCAAGCCTTCGGTCAAATTCGAAAATTGGTCTGCAGCTGAGGTACCGACCTTATGGCACAACTGTAGCCGCTGACAGCACGAACTAAAGGTAAAGTTCCCGCCTCAATTCCACAAAGTCAAGCACTATGCGACACTTTGATCTGACATCAGCTTCATCGAAAGTACCTTTTAAAGGGTTAGGCGACAAGCCTTCCTAGCTGAACGCTCAAAATGAGCTGTCTCTCTTCAGCATTGTAGCACAGTGTTATTTGCTCAGTCCTCGTGGAGGTCGTTGATGGCCCTAACGGTAACATATTCAATTTTTTGAGCGGTAATCCACTTGGGGTCTGAAATACTCACTAAAAAATCCGGGGGCGCGTTTTGCTTTCCAATTGAGCTAACCCATTGTCGCGTTTTTTATGCGCGCAAGTAAGTACTTACCTATTTGTACGTCTTTAGCCGCCAGCACACGAATCTCATTGAGATGCACCTCATTCTTGTATAAAAACGGCTTGCCAGAGCGGCATCGTGCGACTCATGCATAATTGCGCTCATCATGAAGTACAATACACACTGTGTTTCTTACAGGTCAGTGCTGTGGTATAGCAAATATAGCAGCTAGATGTGGCGGCGTAAACGCACTGTCAGATGCTCATATCAGTGACATTAAAGCTCCAAAAAACCCTTCTTAATAGCTGTCAATTGCGCAGCACGCGCTGTTTCTGATTCGTGGGATTTGCCATTTTTTTCGGCAGGTGTGGCGACAGCGTCGCCGTGGTCAATTTTGAATGATATTATAAATCTTAAATGGCTTCGAGACAAGCAGATACACCTTAACTTTGACAAAATCATGCCACATCGCAAGTAGCTACTAGCCATTAACAGAGGATCTTTCGCCGCCGCTGAAGCTGGCGAGACTCGAATAGGGTGCACACGCGATTTCTTTCACAGCCTTGAATGCGGCCAATCTTGCCGTACTACAGCTCCATTTAGTAATTATACTAAGAGATTGATGAGAGATCGTGTCATGTCAATACAATATGCATTGTACCTGTGCAAGTAAGTAGGTGGTCAGGCCAAGCCGTTTTCTCTGAACAATTGGGTTAGCGGCACTAGCTAAACTTCTATGATCTTGGTCTTTGCGGTGTCTATGTTTGTCGACATTGCTGAATAGCTGATTTGAGCATATACAACCACAACTCGCAAGTGCTTGATTTACATGTTTACATTCGATTCCCCGTTCTCTATGCGATAATTAACGAACATGTCGCCAAAATAGGTCAGCGCGAATGCATGATACGGCCTGACCGGCTTCATAACCAGACATTTAAGCGGCACTGGCGCGGTGACAGACTCTGGGACCCTACCAGTTACTCCTAGAGCATCTCGCTCGTATCACCATATAATACTACTACTGAGTAAATAAGTAACCAATGATCATCGACACTTGTACTGTATATTTCACCTAGGATTTTACCTCAATTTGATAGAAATCTTTTGATCAGTAGGTAATACGCATCGAAGAAGGTGCGAACATTTTACAGGGTACACTCAATCATGCTATTTTTCAGCACATACCCTTGTACATCGGCGCACAAAATGAGCTAGAACCTTCCATTTGCTTATTGTAAGCATGCGCAAACTACCACTTTCTTTTATACTAATTGAAACAGAAGTTGGTGCTGAGAGGTAAAACTTGCTCCTCTCACCAATCCCATTTTTCACCCGCATGGATAAAATGTATATGGCAGCCGCACTTGTTTCGTGCTAAGAACACAAAATATTACTCAATATTTATTCCCGGGAACTAGACCAATTACATGACGCGCCTCCAAATTCGGGTGTTAAACTGTAGCGGGTATCTTGTCGCCCCGTCGAATTGTTTGTTCAACAAGAAAAAGAGCTGTTGACTGTAGCTTATTGCTGTTTTAATCTCTCACTCAGTTTTATGCGAGTCTCCCCTAAGATGATTTTTCCATGGCGGATGGGAACCAGCTTCTCCTCCGATACTAGAGCAACAAGTTCGTTTTCGCGTCATACCCCCTTCTTTGCACGCATTTTTCAGCTTGATTACTCTACGAGAGCGTTTACATGAGGTAGTGACGGTAGACTTCCATTTCCCAGGACTTCTGATCACTCAATTCACGGGTGAACAAATTTGTTCACCACAAAGCCATGACCAAATAATGCTCCACTGTGAGAACGTCTCTTAGCGTTGGTGACTCAACTGTACCTTCCCACCGTGACAAGCATAGACCATTCTGTGAATTCCGGGGCCTGACCGCTCCAATCGCGACTCACAGTCGCCAGGCTATAGAGTGGCATACGGCCGCTTATTTCTGTCTTAGCGAAGATACACAGCCACACGTAACCCCCAAGCCTTACTCGAATCCTAACAGTATCGTTGCTAATAATATCAGGCGACTCCAATTTTGATACAGACGATGTCACAGCTTTGTACCCCCGCCAGAACTGATTTTTCGAGTTTATGCCGTACCAAAGTAGTGTACCACGCTGTGAAAAGGATATACTTTAGAGGGAAATTATAAAGAAGTTTTGAGCTCAGGAGAACCTAGAAAATATTTTTTCACACATCGTTAACGCCTCTACTCATATCTCACTGTTTCGACTGTATCTCGTTGCACTTGATTGCACGAGGCCATTTGATAGTTCGGGGATTTTGCCCTATTGGTTTAAACAAGCAATAAACATGGTCTGTGAGCCTCGTCTTCTTGTGATTGGGGCTGCATCCCAGTGGCCCTAACCCCTTTAAAGTACAACATAACTATTTTTTTACGTATCACGCGCGGTGCGGCTACCAGAGAGTCAATATTTTTCAGTGAGAGGTCTGTCTCTTACCCCGCGTGAACCTTCGACCATCTCAACCGGGAGGGAAAGAGGCTTTGATATTTGGTTTTCCAACCGATGTAACATTGATTAATGCCTCAGCGCTGCTTTGCAACCAAGGGATCTTTCACAAAAGCCCGGCTGATGTCCATCAAATCGATAATACATTCACTGCTACCAGACACATCGCTACTTTTATATGTATAATATTTAGATTCGATGTTGCGGGTTTACTATATATATTTAGTATATTTAGGAGCATCTAAACTTTTAAACTATAAAAAAAAAAATAAAAATAAAAATCAGTTTGGAATTCAAACGAAGAGTCAATTAGCCTCGGGAAGGTAATAATTACTCTTGGAGTAAGCGGATTGCGATCCGCTAACTCATACTTGGTCCTTGTAAAGAACGAAAGGTCGGTGACCTAAAGTACGCTTCCTCAAGCGTTCTGCTACGGCAGCTCCGCTGCATTCCACTTCCTACTTTGATTATTCCAATCTGACAGACCTACGCTTTGTTTACAAAAAGACTTTAACGAGTGGCTCTCACAGGATGCCTGACGCGGTAAGGCCTGCCGAAAGAGAAAGTGATGGATACGTTTTCGTATGACTGCATATACTCCGAGCAGCTCCAGTGTGCTGAGTTTTGTTGTACGTGTGGGAAAGACCTTCGCAACGAACATTTCTGCAGGAGACTATCCGACCACCAGTTCTTAATTCTTAGACACAGCCCGCTATTTTATTTTGTTCTGGTGTGTGACTGAAGATTTTCACCGCACATGGCAGGCCTGATTAGGCACGCGAGAACTCGCAACATTTGTACGTCGGTAGGACTTCTGATGAAAAGGTTTCATTCTCAGATATCTGCATTCACTCTCCCGTGCAGCATCCAAGCGGCTTCGCTTTCTGCGCGTATCGTTAGCGCAAAGCGCTGCTACTCAGTCTAGAACAAGCCGGATCCACAGCCATCCCAAGCTCGTATCTGGAGATAGATATTTTTGCTGTCCCTGCTTCTAAAATGCTTGATACGCAACACAGAAAGAGCTTTATGGAAGTCGGTTGTGCTTTCATAGATGTCTGTTTGAGATGTGATTAACCACGTTTAATCATATCTGAGAGCTCTACGGACTGGCGATGATCGCTACTGGGTCTTGGACCGCCAATGGCGCTATCCTCGCAAATTTACTAAAGCTGAAGGCTTCTTAAGAGTGTATTGTTGTTTTGGGGGATAGATCTGCAAACGAATCATTGTTCGTGCTCACAGAGGCTACAGCCTTATTCCTAATTTGTCGTTAAATTGCCGACAAGTCCTACCAAGTGCAAAGGAAATCTCGTACAATTTGACTCTCGTAGATCGCGTTCGTCAGCGTATAAAGCCCAACCATCCACCGAGAGCCTTCTCAGTGACCATCTGCTTAAGCGTCTACCTGGAAGTGAAGCTAGCTTAATATGATACGATATTTGCTCCTCAATATTTGTCTGATGAAATCTTACATAACGCAGCATGTCCCACAGAAAACTAATTTTCGTAACATCATCACTTTCATCATAACCCATCGATATGGTAATATATCGTGCTTCTCTATCATGGGATTTTCTGAGCTTTGCTCGAAGTTCTGAGAACAACAGCGAAGAATACAGCCCTCAGTCGGTACATTCAAGTTATGTTGAACTATTGACTAACAGCGAGGTAGATATTAATAACGCCCACGTTATCGTTACTTCATGACACAACTCAATGCGAAAAGCATCTTGCAATATGTGTATCGGACATCAGAAAATGCTAAATCATTTGCTCATGCCCTATTATTCCAGATGACGCGCTGGGCGTAAAGAAACCGAATGAGAACGAAAATTTATCGCACCTGCACTGACCACTTTTCATTATCGCAGTAGCGCTGCACGAAGTGAATTGGTTCTTTACCCTTACAGTACCGGCAACGTTGCTAACTCAGTCCTCACTTTGAGATTAACCAGAAAGGCATCTAATGTTAAAGATATACATAAAAACTACTGGTTTATCTTCTCGCAATATAATTTCCAATATACAGCACGATTACGGAAGCACATCTTTTGAATAATTCGCATGCAGACTCAAGACGCAGTTGGGCAAGCAAATTGTTTGAAGATGTTTGTTTTTGATATTCAATACTGGAACGCAGTTAACAGGCGTAGCTACTGTTGACCGAACGTTTCTGTATCGTAACTGATTACCTCCAAGCACCAACGATGGGCGCCAGAAAAGTATCTCTCATGTTGCTGCTTTGACGACAGGCGTCAAGAAAGTCAGATGGGCAGCTGGTATGTTTATGGGCGAATCTGAACACAAGTTTCGGATTCAATATCATTCCTATTACTTAAAACTATCGCGGGAGTGAAATCAAAGACGAGCCGCATGCAGCACTTAACGTTCTTAAAAGTGGAATACCTTGCGTTAAGCTCGGAACAGCCACTCAAGCATCGAGGTCCTATAGAGCAATTGCGTTTCACAGCGATGGGGCACCAGAGAGACACTCTGTTTGATTAGACGCCTAGTAATAACTAAAGAGGCACCAATCAAATAAGAAAGAAAGCCTTAGTAAGAGATGAGTACCCCACTAACGCAATCGAGAAGTACAGAGTATCTAGCAGATCTTTGTAGATTCATCCTAAGCCACAAGCCATGTATGGGCTGTGTCATGCTCCAATCAGCAATGCTCAGCGGCACTATATACCAACTTCAACGTGGCTGCCTCGTCACGTTTCTCCAATCCGTGAGGTCAACACTTTTCAACTTCCTAAACTTGCGACACATCACCAATTCAATGGGCATTCACGCACAACAAGATTTTCTTCCTCGCATCCATCGGTCGATGCCGCGAGCCACCAAGTCCCCGCGCGAGCTCTCAAAACGCTCAAACTCTCGCCGTCTTTCCCATCCTGTGGCCATTAAACTACCCGAGGACGTTGGTGCACTGAAGCAGAAAATTCTCAAGTCACATCCAGCTAAGTTCATGCGCTTCAGTTTGAGCCATATGCGCCACGTAGCCGTTCCACCCGTGCTTATTCCAGACTTATTCAACGACCATCGTGCCATTCGAACGCTTGTGTCCGGAAAGAACGTGCCGCTTACCATGCGCATGTGGAAGAACAGCAAGAGACAAGTACGACATCTCGACATGATTGACGAGTACGTCACCTACCGCTAACTTTGCGTATACGTCTCGAGTCTATTAATTTCCGTGTATCGCGATGGAGTGATACAAAATTATAGTGGTGTGTTGTACAATACTGATGAAAGCTGAAATTTTAATACAGAAAAGTATCTTTGGGACATATTTAACTGATACACCTTTGGCTTTGAATTAGACATGTAGTGAAAGATTTAATAAGATAATTGCAAAAAAATTGTTAGAATGCTAAGTAAAACTTTAAATCTAGACGCAATTAAGCCACACAATGTTGTATAATTACAATCACTTTCTTTGCTTCGACAACCAATTAGGAATATTTAGCACTTATTTCTAAAATTGATTTTGAAATCAAATTTCTATCGTATACTACAGGGTATAATTGTGCAAGCACGATTCTTTTTACGAATTTCACACGATCACAATTAATTATAATATGTCAAGTATAAACGGTGGCAAGATGAAAACAGATTTAAGTGATATTTCGTTTATAAATACTGCATGTACGGCGACCTCGGCCGTGGGTGGAAAAAGCACGTCCGTTGACTAGCTCATTTGGTTAGTAGCTTCAATCCTTCATCGATATAATGTGCAGCGAAGCGGATAATCTTCGGAAATCTGCTCCATGTGGTGCATTTTGCGTTTCGTGTTGTCCCACATACTGCGCGTGAGTGGTACATTGCGGCCAGATACAGTTATTGACAACGCGCGCTGACTGTTTAATTCGTTGGGAATTTCGACAGGAGGAACCACTCGCTTCTTCATGTGACTCATGCTAAAACGCTTTAGCTTGGCGTTATGTGTGCGTATAATCTTTTCCTTCAGTTGTTGCGCTTCCTTCGGCAGCGCGACTGTGGGTGTATGGTTGCGGTGCCAGCGCAGACCGTGATGTTTGCCGAGAGATGACACCACACGAGGTTTGGTGGCTTTTTCATGGACGTATGATTCAATGTAATGAGGCTGCACTCCCATAATTTCTTCTAGAAGATGTAGGTGTTTGTTTTGATGCTGGAAAATTGAAATGTGATCGATAGATGGCAGGTCATGACTGGATTGAATGATTGGTTCGCTGTCGCCATGCTGCATAGTCGGGACACGAGCTCAGGCGAACGTTATAAAGATTCAGCCCACGTACTATCCGTCGACTGTCGCAGCTGGCCTTCCAATCACACTGAATACTCTTCAAGCTAGGATAAAGTGACGACATGACCTATCCGTCGACTGTCGCAGCTGGTCTTCCAATCAATCTGTATGAGAAAAGACCGTTTCTTAGATGATTCTACTTCATCTCTGTGCGGACACTCTAAAACGCAGCAAGTCAACGCTTAAAAACTTAAAAAGCTTATCGAATAGTATCTGTATGATTTCTGCATATATGTCTAAAAAACATTATAAGTATACATGATTGGGCTTCATCGCAGTGGCGAGAAAGTAGTATATTATTTGAGCTCGATTCGTAGCGTTTATTTCGACTGTCACATTTGGTACCGATCATGGGTGATCCATTTCGGCGGCAAAACCGGTGCAGAGTTTGCTGCGCTGTCTGTTCGCAAGATACAAGCCGGATTTAGGAATCTTGTCAGCTTAAGCTGTTCGCACCGGAATTCTGGATTCAAAGTTTATGCTGGCTGAATACCCTACGTCCAAACATGCTGATTGCCGTAATCTTAATCGATTGGCATCTGTGCTTCGTGTTGTCACATAGCCAGGGTAGTCGATTTGCTATCTTAGCCCTTGAATCATCACTTAAGAGCTAAAAAAAGACATATTTATCTTCAGGCAAATGTTTCTTCTTATACGAAAACTTTCAGTCTGTGCGTCTGTAAAACTGTCAAATGTAATGTCATCGTTTTTTTGGTCTAGTCCCTTTCGCTGTAAAGCCTTAGGAATCCTTTCTTGGACGCAGCACCACGTTCTCGCATAATAGATGGCGATACCGCAACTAGTGGTCCTCACGTTGTGATAATTTGGTAACTTACTAGAAGGGTATGAAAAGTGGGTTGCTTTTGTGCTGAAAGATCGATGAAACCCGGCCATTATGGAGCAAGATTGTCATTAGTAGTTATGTGTGGACTATTTTCAATGGCTGGAGCCAACATGGAGTGATTGGATTGGGTCGTGCGTCACGCTGCTCTTATTATGGCGATGAAGAATTAGCCTATCCATATGTATTTTCCGTCGCTGCCGCAGTAGATACCTGAGGTTTGGTAAAGTATATGGAGAAGTCCAGCCAAAGACTTGACCTATCTGTCGACTGTCGCAGTTGGTACGTCGTCACTTGAACTAAGAATGTAGTACAAATGGATAATATTTATTTAGTAACGATTAGAATATATTTACCCTTCTAAGATGATGGCAAAAATTTGATCTAAATCAAATCTAAATTAATATTACCGATAATATTAATATCCTCTCGATGACATGCTGATGTGCTTATATACATTTTCAATGGGGTACTGCAAAGTTCAGAATCTTGGGTTGTAGGTATCATCTCAAGATTGATTTGCAAATATTAGTATCAGAATATAAAGAGTATAAAGAATATAAAGATACATTGTATAAAAACGGCATAATTTATCTAATCTCTATCTAACTTACTGCAAATGAAGAAATTAAGTTAATATTAAACTTTTGCTAGCTGACACTTGCAACAAATAGTTTTGAAACAGTTTGAATCGCTACATTGGAGTCACGTATTTTTCACCGGTAAGTGACATATTCGTCGATCATGTCAAGGTGCTTGGCCTTCTTCTTGCAATTTTGCCACATGCGCATGGTGAGCGGTACGTTCTTGCCCGATACAAACGTCTTTGTTGCGAAGCGTTCATTCAGCGTATCAGGAATGATCACGGGTGGAGTGGCCATGTGGCGCATATGACTGATGCTGAAGCGCGTGAGCTTGGTCGGATGTGATCGAAGAATTTTAAACTTAAGTGCGCGCACATCCTCGGGCAACTCGATGGCCTTAGGGTGGGAGCGATGACGAAAGGTTGAGTTCGGTGATGGTCCGCGGAATGTCTTCGTAGGTCGCGGCTGCAATCGCTGCATACGTGGTAGATAGTTTCGATTCACCTGTACAGCCATTTTATGGGTTTGTGCTTGACAGTGAGAATTGTGAAATGAAGCTTTTTTACGTGACGAGGCAGCTCGGTTGAAGAACACGCTCCGACCATGCGCCTGTGACAGTGGATTGGCTCACAGGTCTGACGTGGTGGTTTTTAGAACCATGATTGGACTGAAGTATCGCAACCAATCTGAAAGATGTTCTTTCGTCATTACCGAACGCTGTGCCGCAAGCGTGTATCCGACGACGTCTGGTATCGATGCAGCACTTTTGCTCTTGAGTTGGGTATAGAGCCTGCCAGTATTGCTTGGACGCAATCTTTCTTTCTTCACGAATGCACTGGCTTCACGTGCGTATCTTATGATGTCTGTTTGAGCGACAGCGCGATGATTTATTTATGTAAAAGAACGTAGAGAGCTGTCTTTATTCGAAATAGCATATGACATGCACGTTAACACGCTTGAAAGCGTGAGTTTCTATATTCCGGTTATATAACACACAGCCTCAATCGATCTTACAGTACACTCGACTCGTCGCGTTTTGGTTGTGAAAATGTGCGTTTTCTGGCACTGATGATGTCCATGTGCCTTGTCGCTGTCTCCGTAAGATTCTGAAGGACATTGTCGTGGCGCTGAGCCAACAATTCTTGTGCTGTCGTTGCCTTCCAGCTATTATATCAGTGTAAAATTTTCACTGTTGAGGTGCGGCAATTTTTTTGAAAAGAAGGTTCTTAGCAACAAAGTGCGAAATAAATCATTGTTTCTAAATACATGTGGTGTATGGTGTTAAACTTTTTTTTGAGAAATCAAGGAAGCATGCGTGCTATATTAATATCTTTTTGTATGTGTTCTATGAGTACATTTAGTGACAGTAATTTCAATCATCAGGCGACGGTTTTCAGGTTGATACAAAGTCTTGCAAACAGTGAGGGTTAAAAAAAAAGATTCATGCAGCAGCAATGCGCAGCAGCGGTTCGCATCATTGCAATTAATTATGAATTTCCTTCTGATTTCGATTGCCCCAATAGTTATCGTGTTAACATTTAAAGCAACCTGTGTGGATCTGCGCATATAAGCTTTAACAATACCCGCCATTTTGAAGTTATGTTGGCATTGTTTAAAAAAAAATATTTGTGAAAAACACTTCAGTACTTTACCGCAATACAATACTGATTGGCTATTTTTATTTAAAATGTTTTTCGGCAGAATGACGTCAATGGCATCATCGATTTGAGGAGGGTATCGAATTTGCTGCTTCTCCGCATTGTTTGTTCTCACTGGTGAGAAGAAACATGGAGGAGGTGGAGAAGAAAGCCGTGGAGAACGTCAAGCTTCGATGTGGCGTGTATGGCGAAGGGAGCGTGTTCTCCGTCGAGATTCAGCGCGACGCCGACGTGGAAGCGCTGCAGAAGGCCATTGTGAATGAGAAGAAAGACGTTAATCTTCGCTTCAACGTTGATCCAGCCTTGGTGACGCTGTACTTGGCGAAAGAAAAGAAGAAAGGCAAGAAAAGAAAGTGGCTGGAAGACGACGACAATGTCAAGGGTTTTTTGCGAGGCCAGATTACCAAGAAATATAAGAAAATGCGTCCTTCGTGGAAGCTCAATAAGGAGGAGTACTTTGGGGACTTTCAGCTCGGTGAAGAAGAGATTCACATCTTGGTGGAATTTCCAACGCAGAAAGTTGCTGCTCCGAGCGGCGTTATACCCCCTTTGCCACCAACTACACTACACCGTCACCCCGAACGTCTCAGACGATGGGCTGCGATCAATGCAATGATTCGCCAGAAGAATCAAGACGCGAACCAGAAGACGACGACTAAAGACGCCAAAAACACAAACAAGAAGCGGGAAAATCACGATATCGACAAGTCCGTGGGCTATTCGACTCTTTGCTGGGAAGACATCAAACCTATTTACAACTTCGACT